GTATGCGTAGCGTCCCTGACACTGCTATTTCCCAAACGGTACCTATATTTCGGAATTTCCACCCGGTACCTATATTTCGGACCAGAGTGGTACTTTGGGCGGGTGTGGGAAGCGTCCTCCTTCATTTTTGCTTTTGTTTTATTTTGATCGGTTTCCGAGGGCTCTTTTCTCGAANGTGTCGCTGAAACTCCGGTCGGAGGCCACAACTACCTATTTGGATACCACAGCAGTAGTAGTTGTGGAACTTGCCGATCAACCCGATTTTTCTGACTTCCGAGTGAAAACCGGGGATGCTATCCTGGCGTCCCCTGGTCACCCCGAACATTTTTTTTTTTCTTATCGCCTCAGGGGTATGCGTAGCGTCCCTGACACTGCTATTTCCCAAACGGTACCTATATTTCGGAATTTCCACCCGGTACCTATATTTCGGACCAGAGTGGTACTTTGGGCGGGTGTGGGAAGCGTCCTCCTTCATTTTTGCTTTTGTTTTATTTTGATCGGTTTCCGAGGGCTCTTTTCTCGAACGGTCGGTGCGATACCTTTTCTTTTCTTTCTATCATTTTGTTTTCTTCTTCCGAGAGGTTTGTACAACCCTATTTTTGTTTTTTTTCCCCGCGGCGTCGTATGTGCCGGGTTTTGAGACCACGGGCTCCCCAATTTTTGTGGACTCCTAGCAAAACAACCATGTGTTCGTCATGCATTATTTTTGGTGTTTCACTTCAGGCATTTTTTCTTCCGGTTCAGACAGAGGGGTATTTTTCCCAGGATAAATTTGCATGTATGTGTGGTGGCGAAGTGATGGCTTCCTCAGCTGCAAAAAACATTGAAGAAGTACCCTCGTGTTCGTTCGTGAGTGTCGTACAGCGCACGCCGTACACAAGAGCTCTGGATGAGCGAGCAGCAATGAATGTAGCGGTGTTCCGTGGTGCTGGCGTCGTCAGATATGACACCGAGTCTCCGCGTATCCGACATGGAGACCACGCTCAGCCGCAGGAATTTTTTCCGGAAGCGCAGAGAGAGAGAGGGGAGACAGACAGCAGTGCGAGACGCGACGAGGCCGCAGGAGAAAGAGAGGAGACACCAAGAGTTGTGAGTGAGGTTTAGTTCTTCTGTAGTCCGAGAAGCGTATCTAATAGGCTAAAGACTTTCGATGCAAGATTTTTTGGGCAAGTGCATCCCCCCCGCCATGCTGTTGTTGAAAGCACGCATACAGACATTGACCGCTGCCCTGGCAGGTAGAGAGGCAGTCGAGCAAAAACTTGTGAAGGCTGCTCCGTGTCTCAGATGTGACACTCTCTTTGTGCCGGACCTGCTCCCATCTGCCATCGCAAACATGGGCGCGAACAGAGGCCGCTAGTGACATGCTTCCAAAAGGTCGAGTGCTAGTGATCAGTGCAGCAGCACGGTTCCGTTTGTATGTTCGAGTACAGCACTACCATTTTTTTTCTGTTTCGAGGAAAAGAAGAATATGAAGGTGGACCATGCTTGTTGGTATTGCGAGAGAAGCTCTGGTTGAGAGTACAAGTCTAGGGGATTTGCTGCGAGAAGAATCGACGCGCTTGTGCTGTATTGAGGGAAAAAGGATGCTCGAGGACGTTCACACGTACCTTGTGCGGGGTGTTCGAAGATCAAAGTTCTGTATACATTCGCGGAGAGAAAGTTGACGCGAAATCTGTCCGCCGCCCCAACACCAACGGAGCTTGCCCGGAGCTCACCCGGGAGTGCATGCATGCGCACAACGTGCAGCGCCCTGTAGCCAGCAGTGTTTCCATCACCGACACGCCTTCGGTGCTTCCCACTGTACAGTAACGAGGATCCGACCTTGCTGTTCCCCACAGTAAGGAGGGTCCAGAACGCTTGCCCTGGATGCCTTGCACTACATGCAGGAGGACTGCCCACACCTCAACATGCAGTAGAGGTCCCTGTTTAGTGCCGGGGCGTGCGCAAAAATTTCACCGGCACTATACCGGGCACCGGCACTATTGAAAGTACAGAACGACTTGATATTCCATTGTGTGCGAGCCGAAAACATCGGCACTATACTGTACCGGCAACCGCCACTATTCAACGGGCACTAAGCAGGGACCTCTACTGTACCGTACATAGGGTACCGTAATATACCACACCCCTGTGCCGACTAACTCTACGTCCGACGACCTGCGGCACAAAAATGGGAGACGGTCCCGAGAAAATGGTGTTGTTGGAACACACATACATCTCTTCCAGAGTTCTCCGAGAACCCACCGTTTGATGTTTTGATTTTTGGCAGCCTTCTCTTCGTCGTGGAGAAATCGAGGTTCGAAAAATTGGGGGGTCATATCTTATGCAACCCACGGAATTTTCGAATTTTCCATTACTTGTTTTTCACTGCCCCTCGCCCCCGGCGTGTAAAATCACAAAAAGGCAAGATTGTTCCACCTAAGAAAGCAATTGCCGTGACGAAAGAACGCCAAAATATTTCCCGTTGCCCCTCGACACTAAGAGCGAGATGTGATCTTGTTTTTCCTTGAAAGCATCGATGGGTGGCATATCGTTCCTGTTCAAACACTTCGTCCTATCTCCTGCAGTACTGCGGTCCTCCAGGCTGATCGTACGCAAGAATACTTCGTCGCAGCCATCGTCAAGCACAGGTTATTTGTCTACATACCCTTTGTGCAGATCTACCTCAAGTATCTGAACTTTCCGTGAACGAATATCGGAGCCCCTGTTTCTTATCGGACACGAAGAAGTTTTCCACATTATTATTGATAGATAGATGGCGGGCCCGTGCTCTAGTATTCTTTCTGGGCGTCCGTCTACACCCATGAGGAACGTATATTGTATGGCATCTAATGTTCGGTTCATGTTTGACGACCCAGCCGGGGTCATACTGGAGGAACGTACGTAGAAAACATGGCAGCTTTTATTTTTCACAGCCTACTCTTTAAGCGCGAAACAACAGCGATTTCGAAGGCCCTTCCTTCTATTTTTCTTTGCTCGCGACTGCTGTATCACGATCGTTTATCGCAAAAGAGATTCGAGCCCGCGACTTGGAGAAGGGTCAAAGAGCACAACAGAGAAGAGTTCCTTCCCGCTGAACAAGCAAGAGCGAAGCTGTTTTTCCATACCTGCCGATGGAAGAAGCATTGGTGGGGTGTGGGAACACGTGCACCAATAAGGCAAATGACGGTGATCATGGAAACCGATTCGATGCTCATGTATACTGTATATGAGATCAGTATGCAACAATACGCATTGGAATAAACGGGATTCTTCGTGGGGAGTTCGTTATGGCCGTTTCTCACGGTCGATGTCGAACGCCCTCTATACAGTGTCACGAAAGCTACTTCGTTGGGAAGCACAGGTTTCGTGGGTGTTGCAGATTTGCGGCAGAAAGAACACATCTACATGCGAAAATCCACCTCACTCTGCTGTAGTCCGCTCCGGTCTCAATACTTTTATTATTTACAGCTCGTCCTCCCACCGTCCTCTCCCCACCGTTCCGCTCTCGCCGCTATATTTTGCAGGCTCTCCCCGGACCGCGTACATAGACAACAAGGGCTTTGACGACCGCACCACGTGAATAGCGATATGATGGTCATGATAAGCACACCCTCTCTCAGCCTCGGTCTCCTGGGGTCTGCCCTTATCATGTCTTCCGGCAGCGGCACCAGCACCAGCACCAGCACCACAGGCTGCGAATGGGAGTTGTACTCGGCCCTCGTGGCGGATGGGTTTTGTCATCAGGCCTTCAACAACGCAGAATGTGGTTTGTGACATTGCGAGAATTCGCACGATGTTGTAAATTGGCAATGCGTTTCTAACAACTACGGTGGTTTGGTCTCTCGGTGGCTTACCATCCCCCTTTTCACGCTTTGCATTGGCCACCAAAAAGGATCGCACCAAAAGAGTGCGCTCTTTGCCCTCGAGAACACATGTTTTCCACAGTGATTGGGACTATTCACCGTTTGCTCTCCTTTTTCAGCAGTGTTGGACGATAGACCAACTCATCACGCCTGACTATCTCGACATGATCTAGACTACACCAATTGTGCGGCGGTGTTGTTCAGGAGGGCGACAACACGACAACCCCCCCCCCCCTATCAACTATTGCGTGGTGATAGCAGCTGTTGTTGCTGTTGATGTCATCGTTGTTGTTTTTCTCGTGTTCACAGATATTTATCACTTCTTTCTGCATAGTCTAGTCCACATGTACTCATTGTACCTCATCTTCCGTACAGCCGTACAGCTAGAGTCGACGAATGAATGTTGGGTGGTTACAAGATGATCCACAACAAGGCACGGAAGGGTGAAGAATAGGGCAATCACGTATAAGCCAACCACCGCAGTGGGTAGGTAGACTACCTAGTCCGTGTAACACGAGGGAAAACAATCAAAAGCAAATGTCACCTCGAAATGCGGCAAATCGCGTTCATGTAGGGATACGGGTCCCCGTGTTGCATGATTGGTGTAAACCTTTTGCATCTTTTTGAATGTTTGACTGCACAAGTCTTGAGATTTTTTCAGGCCGTCTCACACTCCGAGCGTGGGGAGGGGGGTGGGCTTGGTCCGCGGAAAATGTAACGAGACAGCGAACCCCCTATTGGTTGGGGTGGGATAGAACAAGTCCATGTTTTTTCGTGGTGGCCTTCGGTGGAGTATTTTTTCTGCCTCCTGAAAGCTCCCTAGCCTGACTAGCGTGACCCTCTCCTCTACCGTCCCTCGATTGCTGTCGCTTCCATATCTAGCTCGGTCAAACCAGGGAAAACGCTCTAGTCGCAATGATGAGGTATTCTAGGGTCTGTTGGTTTGGTGGCGATGCTTCCTGTTTTGGGTGAAAGCGTGTGGCCTAGGGAATCTCAACGGGACCTTATGTTTGACGAAGATGAGGTCTTGGCGCTTGTAAGGAGACATCAACAGAACAAGGGAAAAGCTCGCGCATCGCTGCGGTACGAGATCAGGACCTAATAGTCGTGAGATAGTAAAGGCTGGATAAGAAGATCACCCGGGATAAAACCGGCATGTTCGATGCGTTTCCTCGTCTACAACGTCCAGTCAATCTCATCGCAAAAGGTCTCAAGAGTGCGGGAGATCGACTAGATGCGATCTGACATGATACGTATCCTCCTGTTCCCCAGGCTACGACGGCGGCGATTGCTGCGAGTGCACCTGCGTCGACGCCTCTTTTACCTGCGGCTACGGGGGCTTCGCCTGCATAGACCCGTCCGCCGCGTGTGTAGACGACGATAACATCACTGAAGACATTGCAGAGAGCTGCAATGATGGTGGCGGCTACGTTGCCAGCATTGGCGATGGCTTTTGCAGCGATGAAAACAACAATGAAGTATGCGGTGAGTCCAAGCACGTGTCTGGATTGGGAAGAATGTGGGGCTGAACCGACTTCATGATTATCCACAATTACTGTTGTGTGGCCATATCTCGGATAAACTTGCACAATTAAACAACAAAGGCCAGGGGGTGCCAGGGCGCATTAATATATACCACACTTTTGCTAGTGGGACTACCCCAATAGGATGGAATATTGCAGTAGTACTCGTGCTTCCATTTGGCAGGCTGCAATATACCGCTTGGCAACAGCAACCAGTGGACCACAATGGAATAGGCAGGACGGCAACACATGGATGAATGAATAAATAGCTATGGCAGCTATATCTTAGACTAACGATACATTTATTGAACCTCTTCAAAATTTTGGATGCCAAACGAGTTCTCGTTCGTGCCAACTGATGCAGACACTTTGGGAGTTGCGTTGCATCGCCTTTGATAAAAACGTTTTCTAACAGCGGGGGAGGGTGGAGGTGCATTAGTGTGGCGTGCTTCAGCCAACAAGACGGTAGTTCATTATCAATGGCCGAGTGTTTCTCATTGTAGATGGTATGCTTTGTGGACGTGAAGCTTGCTTGGGTCCTCTTTCTTGTTGCCCGTACTGCAAGGTAGGATTTCTCATCAATTCGTGTGAGCTAGAGAAAACAAAGGGAAAGCAACCCGCAATCCCGAGGCCCGGCGCGACATCAAAGGTGCTGTCCTGACTAGCCCCTCAAGCATACTGAGGGTCTTGACTTCCTCGCTGTTCTGGTTCGCTGTCGTTTCGCAGACTACGACGGCGGCGACTGCTGCGAGTGCACCTGTGTCGACGCCTTTTATCCCTGCGGCTACGTGGCCTTCGCCTGCATAGACCCGTCGGCGGCGTGCGTAGACGACGATAACATCACTGCAGATATTGCAGAGAGCTGCCATGATGGTGGCGGCTACGTTGCCGGTCTAGGCAACGGCTACTGCAACGAGGCAAACAACATCGAAGAATGCGGTGAGTCCAAGCACGTGTCTGGACTGGAATTCGTTGCCGTGTAACGGAGCGAGACGAACCGTATCCTGATCGAATAACAATACGGCTGTCTGTTCATATCTCGGATACATTTGCACAATTGAAAAACAAAATACCATGGGGCGCCAGGGCGCAACTACATACTATTCTGCTCCTGCGAATACCCCGATAGGATGGAAGAAGGCAGTATTGGTGCTTCCATTTCGGCAGTCTACAATGCCCCACTTGGTACCGGGAACCAGTGGGCCTCAACGAAATAGGCTGGACCGAACACATTGACGAATGAGGAAATTATTTTGCAAGCAACGTTTAAGAAACCCAAATGGGGTTAGTGCCAAGTGATGCAGGTACTTTGGAGTTGCGTTTCATCGCCTTGGAGAACGGACATCAAATAGCGAGGGGGGTGGAGGCATTTTTGTGTCATGCTTGCAGCCAACGCGACAATAACTCCTTTTGCAGCCAACAAGACAATAGTCCTTAATCAAAGGTCCTCTTTTTGTTGTAGATGGCGTTATTTGTGGATGAAAAGCTCTCTCTCTCTCTCTCTCTCTCTCTCTCTCTCTCTCTCTCTCTCTCTCTCTCTCTNAAAATCTCTCTCTCTCTCTCTCTCTCTCTCTCTCTCTCTCTCTCTCTCTCTCTCTCTCTCTCTGTGTCTGTCTGTCTGTCCGTCTATCTCTCGTTGCCCGTAGTGCAAGACAGGATCTCTCGTCATGTATTGTGAGCTAGAGAAAGATGGAAGGCAACCCGCAATCCCCAGGCCCGGGCCGACATCAGGGGTGCTGTACTGACTATCCTCCGATGCATGCTGAGAATCTTGTTCCCCGTTTCTGACACTTTGTTGTCTTTTCGCAGATTACGATGCTGGCGACTGCTGCCAGTGCACCTGTGGGATTGAGTCCGATGACCTTAGCGACTTCTCCTGCGTGGACTTTGCTTGCGTTGACCCGAACGCACCGTGTGTGGACGACGACGTCACCGAGGGAATGTTTGAGGACTGCTTCAACTTCGGCGATGGGTTCTGCAACGACTATAACAACAATGAACAATGCGGTGCGCCCGAAAAATGAGTGGTCGTGTCAAATCGATTGAGCGCGGGGATGAGGGTAGTTCTTAGCGCTGTGAGCCCGTGGCATCGAGATTTGTACCACATGGGACCTTCAACCCTGTACATGAAGGGAAGTACCCTACCATCCCGAAAGACAGGCACAACCTTGTTGTGACGCCTTTTCATTTGTCAGGTTACTGCATTGGCAAGACAAGAAGCACAATCATCACCACGCTCATGAGTCGTATCGCTCAACCTTGACCTCGATCGTTTTCTCAACGTTTGCGTTCTATTACAGCAAGTAAAGCGAAGTTCCCTCTCGGCCATTCAACGCCTTCAATGTGCGTGGTAAGAGGCGTGATAACCGATATCGACCCCCCTGGGTTCTGTGTTTGTTCCTTCCCTGTTCCTCAGGCTATGACGGTGGCGACTGCTGCGAGTGCACCTGCGTGGTTGATTGGTCCGCTGAGTTCGGTTGCACCGAGTTCGCATGTATTGATCCAACGGCTCCGTGCGTTGACGATGACGACGTTACGGCTGATGCCCTGGAAAACTGCATGATAGAATATCTTGGCGACGGATACTGCGATACTTACAACAACAACGAGATATGCGGTGCGTCATACTGCAATTTCGAATTGGTCAAGTGGCGCTTACGTGGACTCGTTTCCTCCGCCTTGTGTGGATTGGAGTACCCCGCCGCTGTCATGGATGATACTTGGCAGTAGTCCAATTGGCGACCTACTGTCCATACAATCTTCCACACTACTGACAGTTTTGCTAAACCGCCCATGGGCGGGCCATGACGTCCCCATGCGTGGGCATTTCAACCTAGAACTTAGCCACCAGCGCCAACCTAGCACGTATCGTGTGGGCTTGGGGTTAGGGATAGGGTAAGCTTTAGGGGTATTCTCATCTTCAATGCCCGTTCCAAAGCAGAAAATCTATTGAGGGGCACACTGATTCCGGTTGAAGGGCCCTCATTGGCCGCCCATGGGCTTCGCATGGGTTGCCATGGACCGCCCATGGGTCAACCATGAGCTGCCCATGGGTGTCCCGTGGCTGTTTTAGCAAAACTGTAGAAAGTGTGAGAGACCCTGTCCATACGACCTTTCCTCGGGCATGCCATCACCTCAAACGTCTATTCCTCGTCAACAGCTCGGTAACACTGCATCGTGATTCGTGTTTCTGTGCAGAAAACAGTGCGTTGGCCACGGCCTGTGCGTTACCGTCCACTACATCATCTCATTGAATCGTAGCTCAAATTTGTGTGGAATGGCGCAAGGGCTTCGTGGAACCCCTCGACTTCGTTGCCTAAGTTCATCTCTTTTCCTTCTGCTTGTCGATGTTCCCAACTGCTCAGATTATGACGGCGGCGACTGCTGCGAGTGCACGTGTGGAAGTGACTCTACAGACGTGCTTGTTGGAAGCGACTGCTCGGATTTCGTGTGCATCGACCCAACGGCGTCATGTTTCGATGAAAGCATCACGGTCGACATGTACGAGTACTGTGACGTCGAATTACTCGGTGACAGCATATGCCAGCCGTCCAACAACTTCGAAGTATGCGGTGCGTGGCGGTTCGTTGCTCAATGTCTGTCACATGTACGTCTACGGTTTCCCCGGTCAAGTGTCGATTGTTGCGTTGCGGTCAGTAGAGTATTCCCTTTTCGCTTGAACAACGAGAGTGCCGTCTTTGCGATGCGTCCGGACACTTCCTGTAAAGCCTCGACATGTATCATGCTGGTCGTGACCCCACACACCAACCCAACCCCCGCACTGCCCATCAAGATACTGCTTGCGGTGGCTACGCTTCCCTCTCACTGTTTGCTCCTTCAGAGCCCTTAGCAGTAGGAACGGGTCCACGAGCTCGGGTAAGGTCAGGTGCAACCCCCCAACTTTTTTCTGTCGTTTTGCAACTTGTGGTTGATGCTTTCTTTACCCAACGATGAGGGCGACGCTTGACACTGGTACGTCCCTTCATCACTGAAAGCAGCAGAATGCCTCCTTCCCTTCACTACCGACCGCGGACCCTGCCAAGTTGGTCCGAGGGCACGTGAAAATTGCGGTGGTACGCCGAACATTGTTCCCGTTGTGTGCATCCAACTGCGCATTTCCCCGTCCCACAGACTATGACTTCGGCGACTGCTGCGAGGCCACCTGTGGGGTCGACTCTTCTGGAACGCTTGATGAGCTTTCCTGCTCAAGTTTCGCGTGTGTCGACCCCCGGTTCGTCACGCCATCACCGACTCCGGCACCTCTCTCCTCGGAGTGCCTAGACGACCCCGCGTGCGTGGATGGTACCCGCGGGCAGTCTGTCGACGACCAAGATACGCAAGAACGTGCGATCATTGAAGGTTCCATTGCGGCATTTATTGTCACCGTGATCAACCTACTCTACCTCGTCTTTCACAAGAAGGGGGAAGAAGCCGACGAGGTCCATTGCTCCCTGCTCATGATGGCGTACGCGTTTTCCGTGGTGGAGGGAATTTCTGTCATTTTCTTGGTGCCCGACTCAAAAGAAAAACTCAAGATCGGAGCGGTTCTTTTTTTTGGTGTTGTGGCTGCTGGGTCTGGTTACCTCTTGCGCAAATCTGGCCGTGACGTAGCATTATCGATCTTGAACGCAGTTTTGGAAGCGTTGTTTGCCTTGTTCGTTTTGTTGTTTTTCGTGGAACAGTCCACTCGAAACATCTTCCTGTTCGGGATTGTAGCTGGTAACGAGGCCCTGGTTGGTTTCGCTATCGCTGCACGTGTGGGTGGTACACCCACCGGTGGCGAAAATGAGGCCGAAGCAACCACCAGTGGCGAAAATGAGGCCGAAGCAACCACCAGCCAACATGAGGCCGAAGCAAAGTGCGAAATAACTTTTTCTCTTGCGGAGGCACTGGGCGACATGCTTTTCCCGTTGATCGCAACACAGGTTCAGTCATGGTTTCACCGTGATAGTGCGTGGAGGTCGGGCTTCGTTTTGACGTGGTGGGGGATTTCCGGGTTCGCCAGCACGTCCGCGATTTGTATGTGTTTCATGCCTCCTATGAACAGAATTGCCTTCGGCCCAAAACTTGCGTGCAAGTCCCTGATAATTTTCAATTTTAGTCAGGGTATCTTGGCCTTTGTGATCCTTACGCTGACCGAGGTAAACATCACAAATCCTCCGACGTTTGACATCGCCTGGAGTAGCGTGTCAGGGGCGCTTGGTGTGCTATTCGCTTTGGCTTGCTGCATACTCTTCGAACATATTCGACACATCCCTGACAGTCAGAGTGTCGGGGTCATTGTGAGCTCATTGAAGCGTGAGCTGGAGGACATTCCAGACGGTCAGTCGAGATGGGACGTTGTGATGAGAGTGTTGCGTTCCTACTATCCGGGTGGGGAGAAAGTGGAAGACAATGGACCTTCTGGTGCTTGATTCGGTTTCGATCTTCTCCATTTTGTCTTCCTTTTGAAAATAGCCATTGCTTTACTCACAGTTTGTCGCTCACGTACATCTGCTCAATGCGAGTTCCCACGTTTTCCCGGTGTTTTTCCTTTGGGACCTGTCGCAAACTTCATGGGTGTTTGGTCTGTTTCGGAGGGCTGCACCCTTCCGTGCGTCACCCGTGTTGATTTCCAGTGCTCCACGTTCTTGCTGCTTTCTTGTAATACCGCAACAAGCTGGAAGCCAATGCAGTTGCGTTGTTGCCCCTCCCGTGGTTGTAGTTTGCGAGCAGCTGCTGACCGAGTTGATGTTGGCGTGTCGTTTTCTGTTTTGTCTTGCAGTGTTCTTTTCTTTTGTTGGTTCCATCTCGCGAAGCGTCGGAAGATTTCTAGCGTTTGTGAGCGTATCGCCTCACCGTGCGCTATTCGTGTAAAATTGTTGGGCGGTCGTTCGGCTTTTCAAGAGGATAGTTTCATATACCCCGCCTGAACCGTTACCTTGCTCGCGAGAGGACTGGGCTTCAAAGGATTTGCTTGAGTCTGCGCTCTGTCTCTTTGGCGCGGATGCTGCGTATACACCCCTGACATCGCTCTAAAGTTCCACAAGTTCACGTTCGATCTGAACCCGCTTGGCAACAGAGCGAACCGCCCTCGCCTAGACTTCAGGGATACGCACCGCCTTCAAAAGACCAAATCATCTCACTCCGCAGCAGGGGTCAACCCTTGCAGAGATGGCAACACCAAGCTTTGTCTCATCAGCCAAAACCGCAAGTATGGCATAACAAATAATAAACGAGGCCCAACGACAGGAAAGAATAAAGGGAAGGCCTTGCTCCAAAAAACACAACTCTCTGTCTCTTGCCGAAGGTGCAGCCACAAGCACGGCAATTGTACCCATCCCCCGGATGTTTTGGGGAAAGGTTTTTGGGAGAGACAGACCCCATGAGACTGAAACACTTTGTGCCAGCTAGACTCACAATCAATCAATAATCCGGCGACGTGCTAGCGCCGACCTACAGTAGCACGTACAGTATCGTGTGGGCTTGGGGTTAGGGTTGGGGTTGGTCATTGGGTTTGTAGGGTTGTTTTGCCCATTCGGAAACAGAAAAGCTATTGTTCGCTGGTTCCGGTTGCAGGGTACTCGTTGGCGCGCCCATGGGCTGCCCATGGTTCATGAGAAGCCCATGAACTGCCCACCATGGTGGGCTTGCCCATGGTCATTGCCCATGGGCATTTAGTGTCCGCGGGCAGCCCATGGGGCGCCTGCCCATGGGAAGATTTTCAAAACTAACGAAATTGTGGGAGAAATCCCTACAATTTTTTTTTGTTGCCGCCACATTGCACCAACCCCCGCCGAATACAAACCGCGCTGCCATGAACCCACCCCCATCGACAGAATAATGCACGCGGGTGGGGTGTGTGTTCGTTTCGGGAAGCCCATAGTGTAAGAATGACTTTGAAATTATATTTTCGGTTGCTGTCAATGCACTTCTTGCTCTATACTTCGGGCCAAAGAGTCGGCTGATGATAAAGAGTCAAAAGTATCTATATGTGCTCACCACCTAGCCCAAAAATCCTGTGTGGAGTAGGCCTACTGCAGAGATCCATCCGAAGAAATCCGAACTTGTTAGGATCTAAAATATGAGTTACAGCTAAAATAATCTAAAATAAGTTACATTAACTGGCCACCCCAAAATAGCGCGTGCGCACACGCAGAAACAATTGGTTTGAAGTCGGAGCATGTGTCGACTTTCAAAGGCCGCCCGTGCCTCTCCGAGTGGCGCAACGACTTGAAATGTGTCGCATTTTGCGCTCCCTGACCCTGCACACGCCCATGGGTGCCCCAAAAGTCGATGTGAACGAATTCATTCGCAAACGAACCAGAAAAATCGCAGCAACTCGTTTCCGAGCAACCACGGTGTCCCTCGGTGGCGTCATTACCCATTTACCGCACTCGTACTTTGCCCCCTTCCCAACAGGTGGGTGCGAGATGCGCGCGAGGCTCCTGCTGGAGAGTGGAGGTAGCCTAGCCAATCAGAGATGTATGTACAGTGTTCGAATAGCAAGCCAATCAGCAAACGGGCATTGTCCCGTGAACGGTTCTTGTACGATTCGTAGCCAATGGAATTGTGGGCATTTTTCGTGCCAATCAGTCCATTTTGTTTGCAAGTCGTTCTACTCTGTACAGCAGTATATCGTCTACGTGTGCGCAGGAATTTTCCGTGAGGTTGATATTCTCCATCCAAACACCCCAACCTCCCACAGCACCACGACAACACATCACCAAAAACACAATACCATAACTATGATTCTGTATCCACCACGGCGCACGACACATGTTGTTCACTCACACTTCCTGCGGCGGCATTGCTCGTCCCGTGCCCAAACTCATCCCAGACGCCAATTCCACCATGCTGTATCGCGTCCCACCTACCCATTCAAAGTTGACCCACCTTCCCGTAACCTGCCCCTTGCTTGACGACCCTCCCGCCATGCAATCTCGCGCCGCCAAACGCATGGCTAAACTGGCTCCTTTCCTCTCAACTCCTGCCGTGTATATTCACACAAGCCTCAACGGCAGGCGTCCTCGCCAAACGAGCCCCTTACCCGATACTATACGTCGTACCATCTCGCCGTTCGTGTCCTGCCCAGACCGATCACTTTCTTCCTAATTCATGCCGTGTGCGCTCACTCTCACTTTCATGGCATTCGTGCTCGCCAATCGAGCCCCCGACATTTGTCCTGGCATGCCATCTCGCAGACATTCGAAGCCTTGGCTAGATCAATTACTTGCCTCCCAACTCCGGATTTGTTTCCTCACTTAATCTCCGTGGCACACTCCTCTGGGAATACGCCGTTTCCCTAGTAGTCTACCCTTCTCCCGCCATGCCATGTCGTGTACAGCCGACCTCCTGGCTGGACCGATTTCTTGCCTTCAAATTCCCATGCTATTCACCCAGGCTCACCTCCGTGATATTTGTCCTTCGGGCCCTTCTCCCGCCATGCCATCTCGTGTCCACCCGTTCTCCTATCCACACACCCTTCGTGCCTGCCAAGGCCTGCTTGGTTGACACAATCTCGTACGTGGCATCACTCCTACCGCGACAGCACTCCTTTCCATACCCTTCTCTCGTCAAGACTTGTCGCATCTAGCCGATATCCGGACTAAACGCCGATGCCATTCCTCCCAAACCACGCGTTGTTCACTCACTCCCACCGTCTTTGTGATTCCAGCCCCTTCGAGGCAAATTTCCTACGATTCATCTCGCATCCATCCAAGATTCCGGCTAATGTCCCCCCACTACGCCTTGTTCGAGTACTCTCGCCTCGCCGGCATCGCTCTTCTCCCGAGTTGTTGCTCTCCGACAAACCCGCGATTCACTCACGGGATCCTGCGAACATGGCTCCTCGCCTATCCCACCCCGTCTCTCGCCATCCATCTCGTGACAAGCCAAGATGATGGATAGAGCAACCCCTTGCCTACCAACCCACTCAACATTCACTCACGTCCACCAACATGATATGCGTCCCCGCCAATTCAGCCCTTTCCCTGACCCTTGTCCTGCCATGCTATGTCTCATCCGCACGAGCTCCAGGCTACACCGATGTCTTGCCTCCCAACAAGCGCTGTGTTCACTAACTCAGACCAAGTGGCTAAATTGGCGAGGACGGATGCCACTGACGCGAGAGTGAGTGGAAGATGCGTGAGCGCTGGGAGGCATCACTCGATGTAGCCAGTACCTCTGATGGGTGTGAGATGGCATGGCGAGAGAAGGGTCGGGGAAGTCCTTTCTCCGACTCCTCTCCAGCCATGCCATCTCGCATCCATCGAAGCACCTGACTCCACCGACTCCTTGCATTTCAACGCATGCGTTATTCACAAACACTCAATCATTTGAGTGTCATCCGTCCTTGGCAATTCAGTATCTTCCCTGACCTTTTTCCTGCATGCCATTTCGCCACCAGCCGATCTCCTGCATAAACAAATCCATAACTCCCAGCCCCCACTATTCACTCGCTCCACCTCCGTGGCATCCGTTCTCGCCAATTCATTCCCTTTCCCTGACCCTTTGCCAATCGTGCCCACTCGCGCCCGTACGAACTCCAGGTTTCACCGATGCCTTGCCTTCCAACAAGCGCTGTGTTCACTCTGAAGAGTTAACTGAAATGGCGAGGACGGGTTCCACTCACGTGAGAATGAGTGGAAGATGCGTGGGCTCTGGGACGCAGGAACCGGTGTAGCCAGTAGCTGTGATGGGTGCGAGATGGAATGGGTGGAGAAGGGTCGTGGAAGCCCTTCTTCGGCTCCCCTTCAGCCATGCCATGTCTCGCATCCATCAGAGCTCTTGACTCCACCGATACCTTGCATTCCAACTTATGCGCTGTTCACAAAAACTGATCATTTGAGTGCCGCCCGTCCTCGGCAAGCCAGTACCTTCCCCGACCGTTCTCCCGCCATGCCATCTTGCGACCATCCTGGCCACGGCTACATCGGATCGATCGCTTGCCTCCCAACCCACGCCATGTTCACATATCCTCGCGTTCGTGGCATCACTCCTTACTATCCCCCTTCTCCCGTCTGGCCTTCTCGTGTCCATTTGAGGCCCTGGCGACGTAGTCCACATTCCTTGCCTTCCCAGCAGCGACGAATTCACCTTCACGATTCTACGTGGCATCGCTCTTCCCTAAACTAACCCCCCGGCCATTCTCCAGCCATGCAATCTCGGGTTCGCCCGGGCTCCTGGCTACACCGCCACCTTCCACTCGCCGTCAGGCCATGGCCACTCTCTCTCATGGGCATCCGTCCTCGACATGGCAATCCCTGAGCCCCTACCCTGCCAATCATGCCATTTTGGCGACCCGCCACACTCACTCCTGGCTTCATGGATTCCTTGTCCCCCAACCAACATCGTATTCACAATAAACATGTTCCTGCTTGGCATCACGCCTCCAGAACTAACCTGCCCCTACCCTTATACCGATATGCCATGTCGGGTCGGGCCGAGGCCCTGCCTTGATCGATTCCTCACCTCCCAACCCACGCCTTTCACCTCCACAACCTTTGCGCCGACCATTCTCCCACAATACTGGAACTACTGGCTCCACGAAGACCTTGTCTCCCGTGAAGCGCGGTGTGTACTTGCACTCTTCACTCGTCCGTTGCCAAGATTCTTCCATGACGTCTCCCACCAAACCTTACCACGTCTCGCCGAACGCATGGCTGAATCGACTTCTTGCCTTCCAATCAACAATAGAAACATCCACCAACACGTTCCTGCGGGGTATCGCTCCTCCCGCAACCGGCCCCTGTCCAGACGCTCCTCCCACCAAACACATGGCTTTTCCGATTCCTTGACTCCGAACCAACTTACATTCACTCACACTTTTCTCAA